GCGGGAGCGGAATGCTTTGTAGCAGGTTTTAGAAACCCAAGGACGACATGCTGGAACTGGAAAAATACAAAATAGAAGTGATATTTAAACGACACCGTTATTTACAATTCAAAAGAAAGCGACATGATTTTTTTAATCTCCTGTTTTAAGGTATTTTACGAAAAGGCTTCTCGGTGGGCCGTACACATGTCATTTCAGAAATTGGAACAATGTATCTGGGATTCACGAAAAGCCTATTTTCATACGATTATGAAATAAAGACTAAGCTTTAACTTCCAACACTTAGATTACAGAATTGGGACCAAATTTTCGGTTGACTCCATCAACCTTGTTGGGTAAGTCCCAATTCTGTAATCTAAGTGTTGGAAGTTAAAGAGTAGTCTTTATTTCATAATGACTTGTACCAACACAGATGAACTTTCATGATATTTTCATACGAGTTTATATTTTACTGCTTTTCTAATACAATAGAATTGCAATTGATGATACCAACTAGCCTGGGTACCATCCGAATTTTCGCTCCGCAACGCTCGATTTCTTCGAGAGTTGCTTAGCAAAAATCCGGATGGTACCCGGGCTAGATACCAACCTTTCTTCGACTTTTGGCATACAGGAGACCCAACAGACAGACGGCCAGTCGGCCCCATGGGCTCCATCTCTGTACGACGTTCTCCGACGACTCCAGTGCCTGTGATAGATTTGGTGCTTTCATTAGTTAAAAGCATAGGAAACTTTAAAAAAAATGATACATGTATAGTGATCTTGTGACGGACAGCAAAGTCTTCTGTTGTACATTTGATATTCTAGCACTACAAGAAATCCGACATACCATTTATATTGATTATCAACTAACGCTGACCACTGTTACTAAGTAACTACTAAGCTAGAAGGTTATCTCCAACTCCTAGGAGGTCGACCGTTATCAGTAATTCACTAAGGATTTTAACGGTGGGGCTGTACTGTCGCGTCGTTAGAATCCTTAGTAAGGAACTAAGTTACTGATAACGGTCGACCTCCTAGAAGGAAGAGATAACTCCCTAGCTTAGTAGCTACGAAATGACGGTGGTCACCGTTAAGATATACTTTGATCTGAATATATATATATACAGACAGCAGCTATGAGAAGGAGGCAAGTCGCCGCAGTGGTATATATATATATATATATATATATATATATATATATATATATATATATAGTACTATA